TTTAGCAGGCGGCGGCTGCGATGACGGCGACGACCAAAGTGCTGGCAATGGTGCGCCGCTGGCAAATTTTTGTACGGTACGGGTAGCGGTGTGTGTGTAGAATTGCGTTTGCATATAAAATTTTTCGTTACAACTAGTGTTTTCGTTTTTTGTTAACATATGTATGTATTGATTCGCAGATGTTTTTTATTGTTGGTATTCAACTAGCGGCGCTTTCATAAAATTTAACCAAAAAGGTGTTTGTGCTTTGCAAATCTCGCCATGCGCTCTTCGCTTGTGCCTTGTAGCGGCTGGCGCATAGGAATTTTTTTGCAATTAAATTTATCTAAGCGCTCAGCTGTGCGCTCGCGTTTAACATTGATAAAACAACAATGAAATGCATTGGAGATGTACGCGCCGCCGCTGGCGTTTCCAATGCTGAGTACGCCCTGCAAACGGCGCCGCAACACCCGCCCTCTACGTTAATTCTAATGAAATATACATACATACATACATACATACATACGCGTCTATTTCAATCAAAAAGCGCAAACAAAAAAACTCGTAAACAGCAACGGCATATCAANCAAATCGGCTGCCGGCTAGATCGAATTTTCTCCGGCTAGTTGCTATCAAAACCGGCTAAATCTAGCCGGAAAACGGCTAAAATGGCAACGCTGGTAATGCCTAACAAAAACAACACGCATACCACTCACACACGGTGTCTGTAGTAGTGTTGCCAGATTTTTTTTCGATTCAAAAATGCGGGATTTACAAAAATTTAGCGGTACAAATGAGATACAAAAGGATTTGCTTTAAAAGCTCAACTACGNTTTGCAATTAAATTTATCTAAGCGCTCAGCTGTGCGCTCGCGTTTAACATTGATAAAACAACAATGAAATGCATTGGAGATGTACGCGCCGCCGCTGGCGTTTCCAATGCTGAGTACGCCCTGCAAACGGCGCCGCAACACCCGCCCTCTACGTTAATTCTAATGAAATATACATACATACATACATACATACATACGCGTCTATTTCAATCAAAAAGCGCAAACAAAAAAACTCGTAAACAGCAACGGCATATCAAGTGTAATGTCCAACAAAAACAACACGCATACCCCTCACACACGGTGTCTGTAGTAGTGTTGCCAGATTTTTTTTCGATTCAAAAATGCGGGATTTACAAAAATTTAACGGTACAAATGAGATACAAAAAGATTTGCTTTAAAAGCTCAACTACGAACCATATATTAACAAGGGTGATCCATTTCAACGAAGTTATGTTCAGATCAATTATAAGCTTAAAAAATTTGCATTTCGAGTATTTATGCAGTTTTATTTCCCATTCAATTTTGGTACAATAAAGTGCAAGTTTCAAGTCGCTAAAAATTACCATTGATTTTATAGAATTTTTTTGTGGAGGATGTTGCGCAATTTCTTCCATATAAAAGTCAGTTTTGTTCATGCGTTATAAGGAAGAAAATTCGCAACACCATTCACAAAAAAAAAAATTTAAAAAATCAACGGTAATTTTTAGCTATATTTCTCTAACGGAATTGCATGCAATAATGCTTGCTAATGACCTACTCACAATAGCTGTGTAAAGCATGATCATGTTGAGTAGAGGTTTACAAGTTGAAATGAATAATGAAATTGTCGAAAAATTCGGGACAAATCTTGTCCCGGGAAATACGGGACATTAAGGACGCTAGTCTGTATGTGTGTTTGTATGAAACATGTGAAAAACAAGCGCAAAGCAGCGCTATTTCAGCTCTGCGTTCGCCTTCTATTCGTACTCAGTGATGCCAGACGTACTGTGTTATATTACCCACGAAAATCGGTGAAAAAAGTCCCCCAATTACCCACATCTTAAAAACGTATGCCACAAAATTCCCTAAGAATTCAAAAGTTACTATATTTTCGTATTAAAGAGGTAACATTCATGTATGTAGTTACCTTACTATACATATATGTACATATAATATTATTTCGAAATTGTCGATAGACTCTAACACTCACTAAAGGCCTAAAAGAATTTAAAAACATTTAATTAAATTATAAATTAGCTTCAGTGTTTGTTAAACCCCAAAATTTTGAAGAAAATGTTTTTTTTTTGTTTTTCATTGTTGAATATTTACTGGCAATTCTTAAAGCTATCACTGTATAAGCGAATATGATTTTTGGTGACTTTAAAGCTGAAGCATTTAATTTTTTTTATCCAAAAGCAACCGTTATTTTATTAACATGTGGATGTACATTTAACATTTCATCAGATAATTTGTTCCGCTTTTTTCATTAAAGACCAGTTACAACGCTTACAGCGCTTGAATCGGTTAACGGAGAAAAATTTCAAAAATGTCCTTATAATTTTTAATACTTATACATAATCTTACTCCACATCACATCTTTAGAATGATTATTTTCGTAAAAGTGTCGAATATTCTTGAATACTGATCGATTATGCATCGATAATTGTGTTAATTTCTATTTGAAATGTTCCTCTTTTCCCATTTAATAATTTTTCCTGTAAAATATTCCTCAAATAGGGAAATTATCCACAATCTGGCATCACTGTTCGTAGTTCGCCTAACAGCGCTGCCTTTTGATTCTTTTTGCATTTGCTGTTGTGCACATTTTTTCCTATATACATTCATATGATGCATACATATGTATATTCTCGTTGACTCTCTGAATCTGCCAACGTCGCTGACTTTCCGGTGTTGCTGGTGGCGTCAGCGCTGAGGTTTTCTTTTTTTTCTTCTATTTTTGCTGCGATTTTTGTGTTTTTTTTTTATTTTTGTCTTTTCAGTTAAAACCAGCTGTGCTTCGAAGTCGGCGTAAGCACTGCGTTGGTGTTAGTGTTCTGTAATTGCCGTGTGGCTGATTAGAGGCTGATAAAGGTACATACAGAGCAAATTTGGAAATTTCAATGCAAATTTTGCAGTGGCTCTAAAATGTGTGTAGCCTACTCAATACGTTGCGTTTTGGTGTTTCAGGGTCTCTATATGATTATCCACCAAATAAGTGTTCACATGTTGATAATCACAATGTTTTCCAAGTTAACATTTTTTTAAATATTTTTTTTTATAGATAACCTTTAACCAAAACCATATATGTAAATCAAAGCTTTCAACTTTATGTAAAGTTAAGAAGAATTCAAAAAAATTTTATCAAAAATTCTAACTTTTCAATCTGAATTTTTACAACATTTTTGGGAATGCATTTTTATATAATAAAAATATCTTTTTTTGCTGACTTACGATATAAACATCAGTTTATTATATAATAAAATGCGCAAGACCTTTCGCCGAAAAAAAAATTTTAATTAACGTCAGTTTTTATAAATTACACTTGTTATATTTAAAATCAACGCGATTTGTTATCCGCTGGAAACTTGCACCCACCTTATTACGGACTATAAAATTGTATAACCCAAAATGTTCTAAAAATTCAGATTGAAAAGCTCAAAATTTTTACGAACATTTTTTTATTTTTTCTAAATTTTGTATAAAGTTAAAAAAAAAAACAACGAATAAAAAACTTTATCAAAGCAAAGAAAGTAAAATAAGTTTCAAAATTCTAGTTGAACCAAATTTTTGATGTGCACACATACAAGCATTTTCCTACGCTTGAAACTTGCACTTCATTATGGGCTATAATGTTGCATACCCAAAAATGTTTTCAAAAATCAGATTGCAAATTCATAATTTTGATACAATTTTTCTGTTTTTTTTTATACTTATTATAAAGTTCGAAACATTGATTTAAACTTGAACAATATCTTTAAACAAAAACAAATCTAGCTGACGGTCCCAAGATGTTAAGATGTTAACATAAATTTATGTTTTGTATTACCAAACTATGAAAAAGCATCTGCGAAGTGCAGAATGGAAGCGTATTTGAAGGAAAAAGCCGCCAAACACATATCTATATAAGGTAAACAAGCCCCTGCTGCATCCCTTTTTCGACAGTTGCGTACCAGTTCTAAATTCGTCACCTTATATATAGACTTCTAACGAAAAACGTGAACTTAAATAGTTTTTTAAAACTACTACATTTCGTTGATTCTGAGCTGTTTGATTTTGAGCAGTTACAATTGGACTGGTCCGTTTTTGGCTATAAAGATCTAGTACGGAACTAGTAATTTGTTTCACTAGTCTGCGGTTTCCCTGCACAACACGTACACAATACATACACAAAAACGTTACTAGACTGTCTCGTTTTGATTTCGGAATGCTTACACATTGAGAAGTTGGCTTACTGCCAACATAGAAGTATTACATATTAGTTAGGAGATTCGCATGCGAAATAGGTCTTAGGTTAGGTGGCAGACCCACGAAGGCGACTTACTTAGACATTTAGTTGTACCTTGTGATACCACATTACACAAATTCTTAGAACTATCGGAGAGTCCCTCGGGAGTGTTGATGAAATGCGAATGCCGGGCAGCTGATTGATGATTTCAACTCCGTCTTCCGGATAGCTGCGGCAGTAGGGGTCTGTGACGATCTTGAGTCGCACCGCGTGGGTTCCTATACCACAATATCTGGTCAGTACAACTGCAAGAAATAGGTATCTTATTTTACGCGATTTTCTTTTCCTACTCTGTTGCTTGTAAATTTCACTTAAAATTGAATTTTGCGGCATACTTTTTGGCGTCTCAGTTATGACATACTTTTTTTTTTAATAAAAAACAAATGGTTTAAACGCATGAATCTTAAAAATAACCGGTTTTCTAAATCGACAGAAATCACAGAAAATACGAAAAAAAAACACACAGCAACTCCTGCCAAGGCACACAGAATTTGTTTAATTTTTTTTTTCTGGTTAAATTTAAAAGTCAATAGATGTGAAATTGATTAGTGATTTTATTTTTATAGATGTGGAAAATGTGTCACAGCGAAATTTAAAAATAAAGGCGTAAATCAATAATTGCATACAAATTTTGCATAAACAAAATCAATGCGAACAAAGTACAAAAAAGTTTCAAAATTCTCAAACTAGTTAAATCAAAATATTGATGTACTAAAATTTTTAATACCAAAATTTCTGCAATTCTTCAAAACGAAATTTATAAATCAATTTAAATAAACACAACAAATAAGTGAATGAATTGTTCATAACATTTAACATTTAATATCAACAACAAGAACCAAGCGGTCAGTAATAAGAACAACAACAACATGGCGTCAGCATTTGAATACCTGTGTCGGGTTTGTGCTGCCAACACGAAAGGCAAAAATTCTGTTCCCGAATGTGTTTATATATTGAAGACGCCAGCATTAAAGGATAAAATTGAGAAATTTCTATATTTAACGGTAAGAGCAATGCATTTTATTTTATTTTTTTTTTTTTTTCATGACATTGTAAAATATGTAATTTCCGAGTACCTACGCATGTTATTCTCGGTCCAAAAGGTTAATCTAGTCAACCCAATAACTCAAAACTGGTAAATTGGCACACTCATGCTTCTGGCATAAGAGGAAAAATATAGTATATTCATATAAATACATATTAATTGATGCACTTTGAAAATTTTAAATAGTACAAATGTTTCGTGTTACGTAAATGTACCTACATACATATATGATTTGAGGAGAAGTATGTATTACAAAAATATTTACATTCAAATAAATATACATATGTGCATATCTATGTATATAGATGTAAGTTGCACCAACACAAGTGCAGCCTGTTAAATACATTTTTTTTATTTTTTTTATTGTAAATGTATCGTTATTGTATTAGTTGCTCTCTCGCTGTTTTTTGCTCAATCAGCAGTTTGTTTGTATTATTGCAATTGGTATCTGTATGTATACTTTTGTATGTAGTTGGCTCCAACTGGATTTTTTTGAAATGTTTAGTAGTGTTAGTAAGGTGGCGATGTAAGGTCAGGACACTGGAAATTTTTCGCGAAACGAATATAAACTGGTTGTTGTTATTGTATAGCAGATCACCTGTTGATGCTCGATTCAATGGCAGTATGCATTGTTAGCCTTAAGCGCTGGTTATGCTTACATTGCAGTGCAGGGCATAGACAAGCAGCGCATGTGAAACAGGGGTGTAATTGAACTCCGCATAGAGCGCATAATCTCTCAGAATCAGCTGTTCAGTGAAATCAGTTAATCTGTTCTGCTGGAAGATAGTATAACTGTCTTCAGTATTCATAGCCTAAACGTAGTCGACACTAAAGTTAGTTGCTACTTTTTGTTATATTTTTTAATTTAACTAGCTTTATAATCGACTTTATTTCGAATATGAATATGCTCCAATGTATGTACCCGCACGACTTCTTAGTAAATTCTGTAAATCTGAACAGCGCTGTTAACCTAGCTTAATTTTTTTTTTTTTAATTTTCGAAATACATGTATGCAGAAATTAGGTGTCTTTTAGGTGCTCTTCAATGCCACTAAAACTAATTTAGTAGCTCCATTGGTTTCCGAGAGATTCGCAAAAATGTGTTTTTCAGCTAGCTTAGCGCTGTTAACCTAGCTGAACAATCTTTAACTTTTTTTTTAATTTTCGTAATACATATATGCAGAAATTATGTGTATTTTAGGTGTTCTTCAACGCCACTAAAACTAATTTAGTAGCTCCATTGGTTTCCGAGAAATTCGCAAAAATGTGTGCGTTTACGTAAACCTAGCTGACCCACACATTTTTACGAATTTCTCGGAAACCAGTGGAACGCCTAAATTAATTTTGGGGGTCCTAGTTAACACCTAAAATACACCTAATTCCTGGATAATTTTTATTGATTTTTGGCGGCTTGAGTCAGCTAGGTTTACGGACGTAATTAGCGGGATACCTAATGATGAATCTATCAGGGCAATTCTGGCTATGATAGCAAAAAGACTTTCGTAAGACAAATGAAAGACAGATTGCAAGATAGATCGAAAGCCTTTGTTATTCTAGCTTAGAAAAAAGCTCTCTCATTCTCCACACGTGGTGAAAATCTATTTTGAGAGAAAACACTTGGTACATCATTTAGCTCGCGTCGCTTCAACAGTCGCAATGACCGAGTGAACAAAGCACAAGCGTGCCATTCGAGAGATCCGAGTTCGAGTTCTTTTTTGATTTAATTTTTGAAACTTATTTTACGTATTTTTTCTCTTTAAATTAAATCGTCTTTCTTGATTAATTTAATTTTCTATTATGTTTTAGATGTTATATTCTTATTTAATTTTACCTTTTTTAAATTAAATTTTTATTCTTCTTTTAGTTTAATTTTCTTCTTAATTTTAGATTTTACTTATTGTTTAAAAAAGATTTTTTTTAATCTAATTATATTATTTTTTATTTTAATTTACTAGGTTTTTTATCTAGTGTGTTTTTCTTTTTTTATTCTAATTTTCTTTAAATTTTTAGATTTTGTTTTAAAATAACTTTTTTTTTTTGTATATTTTTAAGTACAATTTTATTGGTTTGTTTTTTTTCTAATTCAATTTTTAGAATTTATATTTTTAAAAAGTAAAAAGTATTTACATTTCATTTTGATTTCATTTAATTTTTAAAAATATATGTTTTTATTTAGTAGTTTTTATTGTTTTATAAAGAAAAATATACATATATATATATATATATATTTGTTTTTTATTAATTAAATTTTTATTGCTATGGTGAGTTGCAAGACAGTTGCCAGAAGTGCCCTGTATTTATGTTCGTAATGGAGTATTTGGAAATCTCCATAAGATTTTGGATAGCGAATCTCTCTGCTTCGGATCCATCAAGTGTTCATCCGGTCTTAGACAAATCGTCAGCGCTCTTATATCCGTATATGTTCCTATGGTCGGGAATCTAAATGAGAGAGATTTCTATTTACTCGGCGGTCGAGCTTAACGTTTTATGGCGTTTTCGTTTCTACAAAAAATGTTCCCTTCTCATTGCCCTTTTCTTAGTATTTCCGCGTAGAGGGCACTGAGAAGGCAGCATTTTTCGGCAGAAAAGTAAACGGCATTAGACTTTGTTAACAATGAGGCAAGTGCCAGAAGTGTCGCTTGACTAACTGAGAAAATATAAGCTTTTTGTACTCCTGCGCAGTTTCTGTCTAATGCTTTGTAGGCCCTCCCAATCCCCAGTACTTCCACTTTTAAGATGCTAGCAAAGTCCGGTAGTTGGAACGAGAGAAATACATTCAACATCTCTGAGAACACCGCCGCACCCACACCGCATTCCTTTTTCGAACCGTAAGTGTAGATTTTAATGGAATTCTCCTCGAATATCCTGCCCCTACTCCAGTCCTGTCTAGAAGGAATCCTCACCTGTAAGAGTTTCCTGAAAACTTTCGTAAGAAGTATGGAGGATAGTCTGATTTTTCCCCTGATTTAATAAGCTGGTCAAGAATACCACTATCACGGACTGCAGCGCAGAAAAAAACTAACGCAATAACAAGCAAATAAAAGCAAAACAAACAAACCAAAAAAAAAATAAACAAACTTTCATGGAAATTTAAGTTTAATTAGAGATGGTTGTGTAAACAGCTATAATTTCAAATCGAAATGGAGGGTTAAAATTGAAACTACCTTAAAGGTTGTCTCTTAGTTTGACATTGAAATTACTTAATTTCGCCTAGGAAAATTGACATGTTAATTTCACAGAAATTGAGCGATAATTGGCAACAGCTCAACAAAAGAAATTCGAAAATTAGTGTCAGATAGTCTCACTACCGACCAAGCCTCAAAAAAACATGCCTGCCACATAATATCCGCCAGGTTTTTTGAGGTTAGGATAAAATCCTGACGTAATGAAGAAAAACTGTCCTCGGGTTTGGATTCTGCAATAACCTCTTCCGGGATAGCTCGTCAGCCATGTCGTTGCCATGTACGCTGTGTTCTGCTGTTACGGGTATAAAGAGTGATAGTGTGAAGACGATTTAAGGGTTTTACTTCACATTCTTTATATTTCATTATCGCAAAGCTTATAAAGCTAAAACTTAAACCTACACAAAAGTTAAGGACATCGAACACATCCATATCTAAATAGGAATGAAAAGTCCAAACAAAGCGAAGAAGAAGATTCACTTGTATTGGTAAATTTAGTAGTCTAAAATAAAGTCGACTAACAAGATATCTATCTAAATATACGTATGTACATATGTATTCTTATAAGTATGCATGTAAAGTATTTAATACAAAAACATAAAACACATACAAAATCCAGCTCGTCGATGCAACACATAAACGCTAGCGAAAAGCATAAACCAAGAAAAATACTGATAAAAATAAAACACGCAACAACAACAAAACAATAAAAATCAGCTGAAATAACTTTTACACCACTACAACCATGCACAAATTCACACATATTTAGATATACAAACTTACATATATTTATACAAAAACTAAAAGCCAATGATATGAAAAAATGCAAACACGCTTACATGCACCAATACAAATGCACGTAAAAATCTCGTTTGACTGCACCCACCCACACGCACAGAGAATTTGCAACGAAAAATTGAGCAAAAGAAAACAAAACAAAAAAAAAAAATGCCAATGAATTTCGACAGGAGAGAGAAACAGTAAAGTGTATGTGTGCGTGTGTACTGAACTTAATGAAATAACAGAGGCAGAAGAATAATAAAGAAAAGTCATAAAGAATTTGCCACTAAATTAGCTAACACTAGAAAGCGCAAAGCCCAATGAAAGGTGCTTTTCTTTTTTTCCAATTAAGAAAGTTTCACTCGTTTAACTGGCTCGAGTGAGTGTCGCTGAAATTACTTACGTCAACAAAAGCGCAACACAAATTAGAAGCCTTTTAAGTATGCACTTTCTGAAAACCCTGCAGAAAAAAAATATCTATCTATTGATAAATAAGTTAATAGTAAAAACAGATATTTCTAAAGCAAGCTTTCCAAATATGAACGAAATCGTGCCATACTTAAACACCGATATACCAAATATATCGACTCGTGCGCCACCTATCGGCAACATTTTTACTGGAGTTACCTATTCCTTTTCATGTAGTTAATATACATACGTTCTAAATATGAGCCAAATCAGACTATAAATACGGATTTTTAATTAATATGCGCCACCTATTGGATTAATTCATCTTTTAATTCATTGCATTGTCATTGCGTTCTGAGCCGACTGTGAAGTTTCAAGTCTCAAGGTCATCTGAAAGTTGGTCAAAAATTGATTGCAAGAATTGCCCCTAACAAACGTATTTTCATATATACATACATACATATAGAGCAAGTTAAATAAAAGCTGGTAAAAATAACCCACTTGTAGTTAGTTGTAGCTTTTTTTCGGGATTTCGTCAATGTTATAAATATACAAGAATGATGGAATACAAGATTGCGCTAATCGAGCTG